CATACACCAGGCTAAGTTAACTTGGGGGCAGACGAGAGGGAGAGAGGCTGCCAAGGCATCTAAGAACAGGCTGCTTGCTTAGGTCAAGCAGATGCTCACTCTAGACAGGGTATTTCATGGCCTTAGGTCACAGGTGAGTATGAATAGAGGCCATGAAGTGAGAGGCAGAGTGACAAGCGATTACAATAAGACCACTAATGTGTCCCTGCTTCACTGTTTTTGGTAATACTCTTTGGGATTCGCTGTCCTTGTGTGGAGCAGATATGTAAACTAAGGCACAGTGAGGTGCTCAAGGGTTACACAACAGGCCGGTGCTAGAGCCAAGCTTTGGATATAGGAGTCCTGGCTCCCAGTCCTGGGCTTAAACCACCAGTAGACGGCACAAGCATGGCCTCAGTGCAAGTCTTCATGGGACAGTCTGACTGTTTATTGCAAATGCAGGAGAGCAGGGTTCATGGGCTTATTTCAGCACATGACCCAGTATGACATTTTCCCCATGTGAAAACACAGCACATCACAGAACACCATTATCCTGCTGTCAGACTGTGAGAGCATGGGGCCGCATGGGGGGCACACATACACTTACACACACACACACACAAACACACACACTGCATTTTTGACCAAACACATGCACACACTCACACTACCCTTGGGCATGCACAGGCATACATTCATTCTGCCCTTAAATACACATGTGCATGCGCTGCATACGCTGTCTTTGTGTGCATACATTCAAATTCTCATGCATGTGCACACCTATACTTTACTGTGTTTACATTCATATACATACATACTGCCCTTGTGGGTGCACACACATACACATTGCTTTTGTACACACATTTACACACATGCATGCACCATTATTTACACACAGTCACACACACACACAAACGTGTGTGTCTTATGCAGAGTTTATATTATGTTTGTATGTGATGGTTGGGATAGTTGTGGTTGTATGGGATGATCCTGGCAGGAAGTTGGACTAAATGATTTATGGAGGTCCCGTCCAGCTCTACTTCTCTATGACTCCATGACAAGAGCAATGTGCATGTAAACTTGTATGAGTACACATACAAAATTGTAGTGTGTGTATGTGTGTGCTGTTGTGTGTGTGCACATAGGCAGCATGTGTACATATGAATATGGGAACACAACAGTAACATGTGATAGCAGCACACCCTTTGCACTTGTCTACACAGTATTTCCATGGCTTGGTTCTGTGTTGCATAAAATCCTCTATACAGAATCTGAGATTATGTCAATATGTAAAACCTGCTGTAATGCTTCAGGGAATTGGCAAATGTGTCCGGTAGCTGAATATTTGGCAGGCCATGATCTATTTTAAAGTTCTCTGCAACACATTTGATGACACATCAGCCTCCACAGAGAAAAGACACTATTTCTAGATAAGGCTTTACTGGGAAAACTGCCAAAATAGTGGCTGGAGGTAAGAACCCACCCAGCCTGTCTTGCTGTGACCTTTGTTACATGTCCAGCCTCTCTGGGATAGTTCCAATCACACAGACCCTAATCTACAGCTCCACTTACAGATGTGACTGGCAGAAGGCAGGGGTATCACCCTGAGAGGATTCAAGGAGTGACAGCTTCTCTTTCAAAAAGTGCATTCCCCTTAGGTGGGGGTGCTGGGTACCTACAGCTGCAGTTTCATAGATTTCATAGACGTTAGGACTTGAAAGGACCTCAAAGATCATCAAGTCCAGCCCCCTGCCCTAGGGGCAGGAGGTCAGCTAGGGTCAAAGGATCCCAGCAAGATAAGCATCCAAGCAGTTCTTGAATGAGTCCATAGTAGGTGCCTGCACCACTTCTGGAGGGAGTCTATTCCAGGTCTTGGGGGCTTGGACCATAAAGAAATTTTTTCTTATGTCCAGCCTAAAACGGTCTTAGAGAAGTTTATAACCGTTGGTCCTTGTTTTTCCTTGGGGCGCTCTGGTGAACAGACGTTCTCCCAGATCCTGATGTACACCCCTTGTGTACTTATAAGCAGCCACCATGTCCCCCCTGAGCCTGCGCTTTTCCAGAATGAAGAGTCCCATGGGTCTTCATAGGCCTCTTCATAAGGCTTATTCTCTTGCTGTTTGATCATGTGCATGGCTCTCCTCTGGACTCTCTCAAGCTTCTCGACTTCCTTCTTGAATTGTGGAGCCCAAAATTGGACACAGTACTCCAGCTGCAGCCTCACCAAGGCCGAGTACAGCGGGAGGACGACATCCTGAGATTTACTTGAGACGCATCTATGGATGCAAGCCGGAGTTTGGTTTGCTTTACCAGCTGCAACATCGCATTGGTGGCTCATGTTCATCTTGTGGTCAATCATGTCTCTTCCAGCAGTGGTGCTAGCAAGTGTAGCAGTTGAGTCATGTAGGTGGGTGCTTGGCATCTTTGAAAATCAGACCCAGGTTATGTAAAGTAGGATCCTTTAAGCTCACTGTGGCTGCTATTAATATTGCATACATGCTTGGTGTCCTGTGATTTGGCACAGGGTCCCCAGCTATATGCCACAGTGCAGAGCTAGTCTGTTGACTCACCCTGGCAGCCAGACTTGGGTGTTATTAGTTCCAGCTCAGGTTTATAAAATGTTGGAAACTTCTCCAAGATAAATGGAAGGGGAGGGAGAAGTACTCTTAGGGAGACCTAACACAGTCAGATGATGGATAACTTGTCCTAAAATACTCCAAGGAGATGGGAGTCAGCTGTGGACAGTCCTCATTGTATGTGTGGGAACCTAACCACTCACGTGGATAGATACAACTAGCAGAGGCCATTGTCTTTCTTAGGATCATAGGAAAGCAGGGCTGGAAGGGATCGGACAAGGTCTAGTCCAGTCCTTGCACAAAGCAAGATCAATACAGGCTGCTGTGGCTTATGGGTAAGGAGACATGATGTTTCCAGATGTCACCAGTCGGTGACCTGCTCATGGTGGTTCCTTCTCATGCAGCCTCATCTAACTGCCTCCCACCCTTCTGGTTCCAGGGCTACGCGGGACGTGAGAGAGAGTACATTGCCACGCAGGGGCCGATGCTTAACACAGTGGTTGACTTCTGGGAGATGGTGTGGCAGGAAGGCGTGCCGCTTATTGTCATGATCACCAAGCTGAAGGAAGGCAAAGAGGTGCTGAACAGGGCCTGCACACCTGCTC